GGTATCACAAGTAATACCGCAAATGGAAGTCCCACAATCGCTAGCCTCCAGACCATCAAGAAGGCCATTATATAGGCCCCCACAAAAGTCCATGAATTCATCAAAAAAACTGGAACCTGATTTGTTTTGAATTCAACCACCTAATTAATTAGCATATCTTACAAACATATCACAAAAATTGAAAGAAACAAGATCCACCAACCTTTTCACTAATGACATCTTGAATTATAAGACTATCGTTGGAAACGCTTGCTATGACATCTGTTGTAGAGGTCACATGCAAATCAAAGTAGCCCACGTCTTGCCTAAGCACTGCTTTCAAATAACTTGTTCTTAGACGTGAAGCCTGTCGTTCGGCTGTTCTTGTCCAACAATAACCCTCTAAAGAAAAACAAATTTAAATTTGATTCAATTTCAAACCTTCCTTGTAATTGGCTCATCTAAGGGTAAAAGGAGACCTACCAAGGAAACAAGCAACACATTGCCCACAAGCCAGATAACAGAAACCCAATGCATTCTGTCACCAAAAAAATCCAATTCCAGGTGACAATATTAGCATGGCATGAACTATACAAATTCGCAACTTTGACAATTAGATGACTCAAATAAGGAAACAAAATAAGGTATAGAAACGTACACTGTGACACAAGCTTTCAATAAAGTGTGTTTCACGACATAGAGTAGACCAACAAATTGGAAACATTCAAATTCCAATGCATTCACAACACCGGAGCAATTAATTTATTCTGACTTACAGAAACAAATACTACTAGTATCACTATCAATCACTATTTCTCAAATTTAGAAAATAATCATCAGTGTTTCTCTTGCAAAAGATAATAGTAAAAACACGTACAGACAGACGCACTGAGAAAGAGAGTGAGAGGGACCTGATTGACGACTTGCGTGAAATAGTTGACTATTGAGGCGTTCTCAGCACCAATATTGTTCATCAGCTTTGCAGTGATATATGTCATTAATGGAATTGAAATTCCATCACCAGCTGCTCCCAAGAATCCCATAATCATCAAGAAAATATCAAATCTATCTGCAAAAATGAAAATTGACAAAATAGAACTACTCAGTCTACTCTTTTTCATAATCATTTTCAATCCCACTTTGTTATTTTTTTTTTATTGTGCTCTCGTTTGAGATTTGGGAAGAAGAACAAAGTATCAAGGAGATTTTCCTGTACTGGAGAGACACTTGCTGTCTTGAATTGAGTTCGCTTACTGGGTATATATAGCCTAAGGCTTTCACTAAGCACGACTGAGGACGAAAACTATAAAGCACACAACTTCATTCTCTGTCAAATAAAAGAACACACTCTTATAAAGCTGCTGGAGATCACACTAATGCACTCTCTGGATTTTGTCTCAAGCCAAAATGTATATGAATTCATGCAGTTAACCACCTTCAACGGGTTATTTACGCCAATACTCCTGGCACGGCAAGTTAGTATTTGGGTCAATTTCATTGCAGTCATTCAACTTTGATCGTATTCTCAATTAGGTCATTATACTTCAATTTGTATTAATTGGATCACTATACTTCTATCTCAATTTCGGCCACTTTGTTAAATTCCCTCGTATTATTTAATGCCAGACAGTGGCAAGGCTATTACATACTAACGGTCATCCTATGTGATCGTCAAAAAATTACCCAAAAGACGTAATACAATTGAAAAACTCGTTTCACACATTAGACTTGTAAATGAAATAATTCAAACGGTAGTTTTTTCGCTTATATCACTTCTTTTAGGTCATTTTTACGGCCACAGAGAATAGTTGCTAGTATTTAATGGCCAAGTCAATGTCCAGTGTTAATATTTAAACAAATATAACTCCGTGTAAATTTTTAGGTGAGCTTCACTAATGTCATATTAAATACAAGTCTCTGTTATGTACAGTTGTCTCAAAAATTTCATACACGATAAATTAATAGTTTTAGCTAAATATTATTTTTTTGGCCGGTCTCGACTTGAGATAGCATGCTAAATTAATATTTCGCTAACTTTAGAAGATAATACATCGTAAATAATTCATAAAGATTCCACGTAATACATAAATTAATAATTTCTTGATACATAATACTTATGATTCGACTATGAAGCATTTTTAAAATATGTTGCTCAATCATGGTTTATTATTTTTTTCTTAAAATTGATGTCACGTCGAATCTCATCTCTAATTTTTTTTTAGCTTGATAAGAAATTTCTTTTTTTTTTTTTTCTCATACTTCAATAAGAAGAATATTCAATATCCCCAATTTGAGAGCTCGTTTTCGCAGAACGAGTTCCATATTTGAACTATCATCTTCAATTGCACTAGGCACGTCAATTCCACAAAAGCACGATGAATAACGGAAGGGACAAAAACAATAAAGCACGCAGCATTTCGTATAATCAACCAACTTTTTGCCATGTAAAAGAACACACTAAAACAAAGCTAAAGATCAATACAATCTCTGTCTTCTGTCTCATAACCAAAATGCATTTAAATTCACGTAGTTGACGGGGGATTATATCTTTAACTGAATGACAGGGGAAATCACTAGAAGAAATTGAAAAAATTAGTGACTTATCTTGTGTTTACTTGCTAAGACGTATCTATTAGTGTATCCGTTGGAAACTTAAGGGCATGTTCTCTTTATTATTTTCAAGCTGTTTTCTATTTTCAATTTTTCGAAATAGTGAAAACGCGTTCTCTTTCCTATTTTAGAAAATGCGTTTTAAAAACAAGTTAAAAATTTACAAAGAAAACTCAAAATGACAAATTGTCGTTTTTGGTGCTTTCAATTATAATTAAGTCAAAATTTTCAAAACGCGTTTTGGGTATTTTCAAAATGCCAAAAAGAACACTTTTTAACAATCTTAAAATGGACACTCAAAATACAAAACGCAAAATGAATTCAAAACTCAAAACACAAAATTGAAATACAAAGAGAACAATCCCTAAGTGATATTAGTATAAGAAAATAATTTGAGTTAGAATTGGTGTAATTACTCATAACGTCAGTGACTATAATTAGCGTAATTAACGTTCCTAAAATTGCTAGACTTACAATTTTCAAGTTTGCCCACGAAATTTGCTGAAAACCGCCCACTATGCCCGATGGTTAACTGGCATACTTGAAAACAAACTCAACATAGCTATTTTGCTGCCACGTGACTAAAACATGTAACTGCACCTAGTGAACTAAGTCAGCTAGCTAGAAATCCTTCCATGTATAGGGATGGCAATGGGAAAGGTCGAGGCGGCCCTTCATGTTCCCACCAGGGTGTCGGGATGGAGGTGGGGATTTTAAAAATCTCCTTTTACTTATTTATCTAAGTTTCTAATATTTTTTAAAAATATAATTTAAATTGTAAAATATAAAACATAATAGAATAAAATAAAATAAAAATAAGTATCAGGCTACGGAAAATGTTGCCCATCGCCGCCCACTTACTAAATAGGAGGCGAGGCATCGCGGGACGTGGGTCGGGTAATTTTGCCATGCGTGTCCAAGTGCTGCGTTGTCTTGATTGGTCTGGTAAGAGACGTTCTATAACTATGTGCTTGTTTGAGATTGTTTAAACAATAATATAAACAGGGAGTCATGTAGAGTACCGTTGGGAAGGGTGAGTGGTATATGTGAATCTTAAGAAATGTGTAAATAAAAAGTATGCTTAATAAAAAATTATTATAATTTAAACTGCGCGAAATACTGAGATATCATGGCGACACTTAATTTAGTGAAGTCACTGCCCAAAACTTGGATTGACAATTTTTTTTTTCTCCTGTTTTTCCAACAAACCAGTACTTAAAAAGTTAAAATTCAAAAAAAAAAAAAAAAGAAAAGAAAAGAAAGAAAGAAAGGACTGAGGAAGAAATCTGAGATGGTGATTGATTCATGTAATTGAATGTAGCCTTGAGTGAATACTAGTTAGATTCACGTGCTATTAGCGTAGTTGGCTACTTAATAGCGTTCTTCTGAAAGCTTAATGTAAGGAACATAAATGAAACATTGGAAGATAGATTTTAGCATCCTGTAAAAGCGAAATAGTATTGCAGTTATTTTTAGTAATGTTTGTAATCCTAATCATATTGAAAAATTGATTTGATGTTATACTCATTGTGATTGTATTAGAAAGATGATTTGAAAATCTTGTGGAAAATGTATTGCAATACTTTCATGTGTTTTGTAAGCAGAAAACAAGTATTTGCATTCTACAAATTCACTCAGCTATAACTGCTACAATGTTTGGATAGTCAAGGAAAGAGTTTTCAGACAAAAACGTTATAAATCATGCCGTTTTAGTGTTGTTTAGACAAAATGAAGAGAAATACAATTCTTGACATTAACTAAACATGAAATATGAAGAGGCAAAACGTAGAATTCATGTAAGTGTCCAACTACCATTGGTGGGACAGAATTTGTATACTGAGAACATTGGGATTTCATCGTTCACAAGTTCGACTACGCACGTGTCACCTATTTGAAGTTGTTTCTCCGTAACGTAAGCTGACCAACCTATGGTGAAACGTCGTACATCACCATTAGTTCTTAGATTTGTTCGCACTGGCCAATTGTGATGTGAACTATCATGGATTTGTATATTCCTGACACGTTTTTGTAGATGTAATCGAGCGAACGTTCCGTGCACATCCTATAAAATAAATT